AAACTCGTTTAAGTTCTGGTATCGATATGTACTAGTTGTTGATAAAACCGTTTAAGTTCTGGTATCGATATGTACTAGTTGTTGATAAAACCGTTTAAGTTCTGGTATCGATATGTACTAGTTGTTGATAGAACTTAAACGGTTTTATCAACAACTAGTACGTATCGATAACAGAACTTAAACGATTTTATCAACAATTTTTTATCAACAACTAGTACATATCGATACCTACCAGAACTTAAACGATTTTTCGATATGTACTAGTTGTTGATAAAACCGTTTAAGTTCTGGTATCGATATGTACTAGTTGTTGATAAGAGCGAAGGTGATATAGAAGTGCCGGAAAGTATGTATACATCTCTAAGTAGGATAAAATTTTGCGTCCTATTCATTTATTTTACACTACAAACAAAAATATTTTGTTTTTAAACACTGACTTAACTTTCCCGATTATATCGATAACTGAACTAAACAAAAACCTGAAAATTTTTTTATTTGTTATTAGCCTTTTTGTTTTGTTGAAAAACGGGATTTGAAGGCTTAGACGTTCTTACCAGTATCAGAGTACTGAGAGTATGTATTTAATGTGAGCATTTTAAACAAAACACTGGTATAGCGTTGGAATTATATATATTACCAGGTACCCGCAAAAAGCTGACAAGAAAATATCAATGTTTTCTTCCAAAAATTTTTAAATCTTCGAATCATTAAGGAATAAATTTATTACACAAAAAATAGTTTCTTCCAAAACTAAAGTTGCCACCAACATATAGATCTATCAGCGTAGCTCTGTCGTAATAATACTAATATGTTTATATACAAGCATCAGGAAGAAAGTTTTCGCTAAATAAAAAAAAAACTAATGTAGGGCTAGCTACTGACCTTGAAAAAAAGGAAACCAAACAAAATATGGATGGAAATTGGCAGATCATATATCATGATTTGCATAGGTGATACTAGATGTTTTGTTGTTGTTGTTTTTTGTATAATACTCATTATAAAAACTATCAATCTTTTACACTGAAAGAATTCATACAAGCCATAATATATTTATTTAACATATTCTTACGATTCTGCTCACATCTTTAAACAGATGCAAGGCTTACCGGTTGGTGGTAACTTCCACACTCAAGTAGCATATTTATTTTTCTTTTGAACGTGAATATCAATACATCACACAACTTCTCAAAAGAAAAATATATATACTACCGTAAAGCTTTACAAATTAACAGAGCAGATACACAGACGAAATAATAGTACCAAACCTATTCAAATTATATACTACCGTAAAGCTTTACAAATTAACAGAGCAGATACACAGACGAAATAACAGTACCAAACCTATTCAAATTATATACTACCGTAAAGCTTTACAAATTAACAGAGCAGATACACGGACGAAATAACAGTACCAAACCTATTCAAATTATATACTACCTTAAAGCTTTACAAATTAACAGAGCAGATACACAGACGAAATAACAGTACCAAACATATTCAAATTTTCTTGATACAGTATATATACCTGAGATATATAGTACTTGATAAAAAGAACAACAAAGACGATTAAAGGTACCTTACAGTCAATCAGAAGGTTTTACTTTTAATGTTATAAATTTCCCATTACCCCATAAAAACC